TGAGAAATTCTTTCTCTCTTCTTTATTCTAAATGATAATCTTGCTGGGTAGAATGTCCTAGGTTGCCGATTTTTCCCTTCCAGGACTTTGACTGTCTTGCCACTCCCTTCTGGCCCGCAGCGTTTCTGTAGAGAAATCAGCTGACAGCCTAATGGGGGTTCCCTTGTCACTAACTCTTCGTTTTTCTCTTGCTGCCTTTAGAATCCTCTCTTAATCTTTAACTTTTGCCATTTTTTTTTTGAAGATGTTGGGGGTGGGAGTTTATTAATTAATTTATTTTTGCTGTGTTGGGTCTTCGTTTCTGTGCGAGGGCTTTCTCTCTAGTTGTGGTAAGCGGGGGCCACTCTTCATCGCGGTGCATGGGCTCACTATCGCGGCCTCTTGTTGCGAAGCACAGGCTCCAGATGCGCAGGCTGAGTTGTGGCTCACGGGCCCAGTTGCTCTGCGGCATGTGGAATCCTCCCAGACCAGGGCTCGAACCCATGTCCGCTGCATTGGCAGGCGGATTCTCAACCACTGCGCCACCAGGGCAGCCCACCTTCTGCCATTTTTATTGTAGTGTGTCTTGCTGTGGGCTTGTGTGGCTTTACCTGCTTTGGGACCCCCTGTGCCTCCTCTGCCTGGGTATGTCTCCTTCTTTAGATTTGGAAAGTTTTCAGCCGTCATTTCTCCAGATGCATTTGTGGTGCCCTTTTCTCTCTCTTCCATTCTGGAATCCCTATCATGTGTCTGCGGGCACACTATATTCTCCCATAGGCCTCTTTCTGCCTTTCTGATTGGGTCATTTCCTCATTTCCATTGGTCTACCCTCACTTATTCATTCTTCTGCATTATTAATTCTGCTGTTCATTGCCTTTAGCTCAGCTTTTGTCTCTGCTAATGAGTTTTCTAATTTTTTTTGGTACCCTTCAGAGTTTGTTTCTTTTTTATAGTACTCTGCATTTCTGTCGATAGCCTTTCTTTTTTTTAAAAAAATGTATTTATTTATTTATGGCTACACTGGGTCTTTGTTGCTGCGCGTGGGCTTTCTCTAGTTGCGGCGAGCGAGGGCTACTCTTCATTGCGGTGTGCAGGCTCCTCATTGCGGTGGCTTCTCTTGTTGCAGAGCATGGGCTCTAGGCACGTGGGCTTCAGTAGTTGTGGTGCATGGGCTTCAGCAGTTGTGGCTCGCGGGCTCTAGAGCGCAGGCTCAGTAGCTGTGGCACACGGGCTTGGGTGCTCCATGGCATGTGGGATCTTCCCGGACCAGGGCTCGAACCTGTGTCCCCTGCATTGGCAGGCGGATTCTTAACCACTGCGCCACCAGGGAAGTCCCCGATAGCCTTTCTTAATTCCTTACTTTCCTTTTTGAACTCAGTGTCTGTTGGAGCGAAGCGGTCTGTGTTGTTTCTTGCAGCAGAATTCTCTTGGTCTTTTAACTGGAGTGGTTCCTCTTCTTATTTCTCTTACTCTGTGCGTTTAGGAGAAACAATTGTCAGCTGTGGTTTTGGAGGGCTGTTGACACGTGGGGGCATCCCTGTGTAGCTCTCGTGGGTTTAATATATTTGGTACCAGGGCTGCTCTTAGTATGGATGCCTGTCAGCTCTTTCCTCAGTGTGTGCTGGTGGTTAATCCCCTTGCTAGGGGTGTGCAGATGTGGCGGCTGGTGACCAGTCCTGGGTTTCTCGACAGTGGTGGCAGCTTAGGCACACCCCGGGAGTATGCGACGGGAGTGGAGGTGGCTCACGATGCCTCCTGGAGCCCGTGCAGTTGGCGATCACACACGCAGGGGAAAAGGCTACGATTACAGGTCCCGCTCCCCCTCTCAGGCACCCCCCAAACAATGGTGCGGGGCCTCCAAGGCAACCCAGGCTTCCTCTGCGTACACCCTCAGTTGCAGTTGCACCAGATTGCAGCCCTACCACCCAGGCTGTCTCCACACAGTCACCCCAAGTTTTCTCCCCAGGTCTGACCTCCGAGGCCTGAATTTCAGCACCCATTCCACCCCCGCCCAGGTGACCACCGTTATATTTTCTGTCTCTCTGATTTTGACTACTCACAGTACCTCCTGTAAGTGGGATTGTACAGTATTTGCCTTATTTCATTTAGCATGACGTCCTTAAGGCTCATCCATGCTCTGGCATCTGTCAGTATGTATCAGGTATATACGTCACCTTTTCTTTATCCATTCATCTGTCCGTGGATAGCTGGGTTTGTTCCATGTTGTAGCCGTTGTGAATAGTGCTGTGATGAACGTGGGCCGTACAAGTATGTCTCTGAGACCCTGGTTTCAATTCCTTCGGGTATGTACCCAGAAGGGGGATTGCCGGATCCCATGGTAAGTATACTTGCTGAACCTCCATACTGTTCTCCATAGTGGCTGTACCATTGTACGTTCCCACCAGCAGTGCACGGGGGTTCCAAATTCCCCACACCCTCCCCAGGTGCTTGTTGTTTTCTGGTGGTGGTGTTAGTAGCCATCCTAATGAGTGTCGGGGTGTCTCATTGTGGTTCTCTCTGCATTTCCCTAGTGATTAGTGATGTTGAGCATTTGTTCATGAGCTTATTGACCACCTGTGTATCTTCTGTGGGGAAAGGACTATTCAAGTCCTTTGCCCATTTTTGAAATTTTTTTTTTTTTTTGCAGTTGAGTTTTACGGGTTCTCTCTTTATATCCTGGATACTAATCACTTTTTGTTCTCTGGGGCCCACCACTGCACAGCCATGTGACGAGAGCATCTGTGCCGTTGTCTCTCACGGCAGGAAGTCCCACGCAGAGCCAGGAAAGGGACGTCATGATGTCACAATGTCATTGTGGTGTAGACGTGCCAGAGCATGGGGTACACCTCCAGACGCGCTTGCTGCAGCAGGACCAGCACCTACAACGGGCGGGACCTCTCTGAGTGCAGGGTCTCTGCGGGGTGGCCTGAAGTTGCTGACGCCAGGATGTGCCCGATGAACAGGTGCGACCTAATTCATGCTGTTTAGAAAGACGCTGGGCAGTGCAGGCTCTGGCCCCGCCCCAGGGTCACTCGAGGTGAGACCGGCCGGGGTGGTGGGGGGCAGGGATTCGCACAAAGGGGAATGCAGAGTCGGGGCGTCTCTGAGGCAGAAACCGAGAGCTTGGGTCGGGCCAGGCAGCCCAGAAAGAGGAAACCACCTCCAGCTGGTCTGGGGCACCGTCAAGGCTGCTCTGTGAGGCATGCTGCTGGCACAGGGCTGGGTTCTCACTCCCAAGTGGGGTCACATCTGCAGCTCCCGCCTGTGCCAGGTACAGGAAGCACGGGGGAGGGAGCGAGGTGCCCGAGGACTCCAGCAAGGGCTAGGGCCACCCCTGACCCCCTGCCTGGCCCTGCAGCCTCCACCCCTTGCCCTCCAGCTCGAGCCAGCCGTTGGACGGGAATCGTGGATGGAGCAGGCAGGACGGTTGCCTCTGCTCAGAAGGGGCCCCTGGCCTGGCCCTGTGCGCACCCCCCTCAGAGAGGAGCACAGACCCCAGGTCACGCTGGGCTCAGATCTCCGACTCCTGCCCCGCGAGCCGGTTTTCAGGCGGAACACACATCCCGGGTGGGGACTCCCACGTGGCAGCCCCACGGGGAGTCGGGAGACAGTGGTCCCTCTGTAGCCGTGCCACCCAGGGGACCTGCTGCCCCAGCACATGCCCCGCCCATCTCCTGCCCGCTCTGATGGGCCCTGGGAAAGAGCCTCTGGGTAACCCGTGCTGTCCCGGCCAGCAGCCCCAGTCGTCCGTTGAGTGGAGGGCAGGAAAGCCGGGGGTGAGTATATTTGTTTCAAAATTATAAGCTACTCATTTGGTAGGAAAAAAAGTGGAAGACAGTGGGATTTCCAGGGCGGGAACCCTCCCCTCACAGCCACGTCCACCCTCCTGAGGGGGCTGTCGTGTACAAAGAGCATTTAATTAATTTATTTATTTCTTTACACATAACTGAAGTGATGTTACAGTACATAAGTTATTTACAACTGTGCAGTAATGTGTTGCAAAATAAATTATCTAGAAGGCAGCAAAAGTACATTGTGAACGTGTATAAAACTGTACAGCGTTTACGGGTACACTTTTTATATGATTATTGGCTCTGTAGTGTTTCAAGTTATGTTCTCAGAAAGAGAAACAAAATGCCCAAGATTAAAGGAAAAAATATACAAACCACGTGGATTTGACTCCATTAAAAACACAACCCGGAGTCCTGCCTGCGTGTCCCTGTGAGGCGGGCGGGCGGCGCAGCCGGGCCCTCACCCGGCCCAGCGTCCCAGCCCAGATCTCGGGCTGGCACCGTCGGCAGCTTCGTGGCGACAGGACGGCTGCCGGCCCGAAGCTCTCCCCACCCTCTGACCCGGAGGCCGCTGTTGGTGAGGGGTGGACGCCTTAACTTTTATTCTCTTCAGTCGATCAGAAATGAAACGAGGAATTTAAAAAAACGCTCTCCATCCTGCAGCTCCTGAGATGCCTGTGCAGCCGCCGGAAAAGAGCCTGAGGCTGCCGTGTCCGTGCCCGCGTCCCCGGCTCTGCGTCCTCCCGCGGCGGCGGATGTGAGAGAGCCGCGCGCCAGAGGCCCAGCGCGGGCTTCTCCCTGGATGTCCCCACCGGGGACGTGGTCTCCTTCCACCGCCCGGACTCGGCGGCGGACTGGGGGGCTCGCCTGTGACCCGGGCAGCTGTCCCACCGCGTCAGGCCGGAAGGAGCACGAAGTCGTCGTTGACGTCGACCATGGGCACGTAGAAGGACGGCACCTCGTTCACACACAGGGACTTGTGCCCGGCGGGGTCCAGCTCCTGCACCTTCAGCTGCCACTCCATCCTCTGCACGGCGTTGAGGGCCGCGGCCTCGTGCTGCTGCCGCATCAGGAGACACGTCTACGCGGGAAACGCAGCAGGTGAGGGGAGGGGAGGCAAGACCCCGGCCGCCCCCCGCACCCATTCCCCCTGCCGCAGCGCCTCCCGGGAGGTCGGGGCGGGGGACCCTTTCGCGCTCTGGCCTCAGGACGACCTCTTGCGTCTGGGTCTCGTCCTGTGCGGTGAGTGGCCTTGCTGACCACACGGGGGTCTGTCCATCATCCCTGCTCTGTGCCCCCACCCTGGGGGTTTCAGCACAGCCTCTAGTCAGAACTCATAATAGCTTTGCTCTTCCGTTTTCATTTTCCATTTATCTTATTTATGGTTGGTGACATTGGCTTCATTTGCACTCACAGTGGAAATTATGCCTTTTAGAAATGCACTTAGTTTTTAAAAATTAATGTTCACGTGTTTACTCTTAAGTGGGTACTAAGTAAGGTAAACAGTTATACTACTAGAGGCGCACTCTGTACTCATGTTGAGAAGGGAGAATGTTGAAACTGAAATAATGACGGTACCTGGGTTACCAACAGCACGTGGGGGGGGGGGCGGCGTTTGGGGTACAAGGCAGGTGACACAGAGCACAGCGGGCGAAAAGACCAGCCTTCATGTGGACAGAGTTAACGGCGTGACAGTGTGCAGGAAGATCATCTTATTTTCTTCGACGTGCACACAAGCATGTAGGGCCAGGTATCACAATTTCTGATTTGCTTAAAATAGTTCAGTTAAAAAAAGTGTTCTGGAAACAAGCCCCACAGGCCCCAGCGGCCAGCCGTGTCCTCCTCGGCACGCCTGGGCCGCTTGTCATCCTCAGGGAGGCTTGAACAAAGGCGTGGCAGCTCAGACACCCTCAGGAGTCCAGCTGCTTTCATCTAATTTAGAGCGTTCTTGACTGACTAGAATTGTACGTACCCCTGAGTTTTCAGTTACTAAAATGAAATTGTTTGTTGGGCTAAACCCCTGAAACATGACCAGCATGTCCGGAGAGTTGTCCCAGGGCTGCAGGAACTGAGGGTGGGCAGCCTGTCTCCTGAATAGGACCTCGTCCACCCTGTGCTCTGAGACCAGTGGCCACGCGGGTGGCCGTTTCGTGCCCCTGCACTCTCCGTACTTCACCAATTCCTTTTTCTATCCATCTATTTTTCTTATTGGTTTGTAAGTTCTTGGCACATTAAGGAAATGAGACTTAACGTTGTCTTTCTTTGTAATGTACCAAATCTAACTTTACTTCGGTCAGAAATTTTTTCTCTCTTGTAAGTTTCCCGTGCAGCTCCCTTCAGGCTGGCTGGTGGTGGGAGGAGTGACCGTGGGACCCCCGAACGGTCACCTTTGCAGCTTGTTAGAAACACGGCCTGGACCCGGCCTCAGCTGGGCCTGAACGCCCTGTAGGCTGGTTCCTCTCTGCTCTGGCCTCTGGCCTCCTGGCCGCCCCTCTGGGTGCGCTGCCGCAGTGCCGGAGGCAGGGTCACTGAGGCAAGGGGTGAGGCTGGCAGCCCAGCGTGGGAGCCTGGGTCACGCCTCCATCAGCTCCACGCAGCAGGCCCTGCCTCCTGGGGCTTCCCGGTGGTGCCGGCTTCTAGGTGTTAATTCTGTAACGGGCACGTCACTGCCGGTCAGTGTTCACGGGGGACCCCGGGTGCAACCCTCGCACCTGCAGACAAGGACTTGCTTCTTACTTGCTAATCTCTCTCTATCTCCCCCCCATCCTCTGCCCACTGCACTGGTCAGCACAGCCAGGGGCAGGGGTGATGGGTGGATGCTGTGACCTTTGAGGAGGGCTCAAGGTGGGGTCCCACAGAGGTCTGACCGCCAGCTGGTGACAGGAGCTGCTCCCCGCACACCTGGACAGGAGGGAAGACACTCTAAGAGGCAACATGGGGGCGGGGAGGCCTCAGCTCCCTCACTGCCAGCTGGGCTCAGAGCGAGTCTGAAGCTGCCTCTTCCGAACACGGCCCTGCCGCCCCCGCCCAGAAGAGCCCTGGCCCCGCCGCCGCCGCCGGGGCCGGGGCTCACCTTCATGCGGTCATACTTGTCGTCCACGTCCTGCAGCCAGGAGATGAACTGGCGGGCGTTGAACCGGTCCCGCACTGACTTGTTCTCATCACCCTGGCGGGAGAGTGAAGCACGTGTGGGCGTCCGGGAGGGGTGGGCCTGGCACGCCAAGCCCCGGGTCCCCCAGTCAAGGGCTCCCTCCCCCACCAGCTCTCCACGCCGTCCGTGGGGGGAGCTGCCCTGTGGTGACTCGGGACCCCGGCGGCGCCTTCAGGCTCCCCTCCATCTCCTGGGGAGGCCCCAGGGCGAGCCGGCGAGGGTAAAAAGCGGCAGTGACTTTTCCTTTGACAGAACGTCTGCGAGGCCTGGGGTGGCTGCAGGCCGCCCACGGTGGACTGTGGTTTACAGGCAGGGCAGCCTCGGGAGCAGTAGGTCCCCACAGGCTCTTGCCGGCTGGGTTTGCAGGGCCTCCCGGGTCTCGGGGCAGGAAAGTCTCCCTCTTGCCCAGCCACACGCAACCACCTGCCTGGGGAAAGCCCAGGCCCCCACTACAAAGGGGCTTGAGGGCAGGAGGCTGCAGCCTGAGAGTGAGTCCTGTCTGTCTCCGTGACATTCAGAGGAAACCCAGCAATCCCTTGAAGGTGAGCAGATTCTTTTTTCTTTCAGATGCAAAAATCAAAAAAGGCAAAGCTTCCACCCAATCCCTAAAATACTTTGTGGACAAATGTTTTTACTTTAGGGAAAATTCGTTGCTATGCGTAGTACGTTCAAGTAGAAACTTAAAGAGGTATCCTTAAAGGTTACGTGTGAGGACTCTTCAACGCACTAAAAAGAAATCAGGTTTAGCTGAACCACCGTACGTCACCATGCGGCCAACTCGGGAATGCTGCTCAGACACCCAGGGGTCATGTGATCCACCTGTGGGCCTGGGGTCACTAGGGGCCTCCGTCAGGAGGGAGCTCAGCACCGAGGCCTGGCCCGGAGCGGCGCGCTCGGGGCTGAGGGTCTCAGCGGCTGCGGGGAGCACGGGCATCAACTTGCTGTCTGCACAGGTTAGATCTCCCGGCTGGCAGCCGACGGGTGGGGCCCTCAGGAGCACAGGTACCACAGGGACAGCGCTCAGCTGGGGAAGGGTGTGACCTCATGGGGCAAACACAGCCCTGGGGGCGGGAGGAGGCGGGCTGGACTCTGGCGGACAGACGAGGCGCACCGTGTGTCCAATTGCTGGGCGCGCCCTGGGCCCGCGTGCCCGTCGGGGGCAGCGGCCCTGTGGTCCCCAGCGTGACAGCCTCTCTGGGGCGGCCCTGTGGTCCCCAGCGTGACAGCCTCTCTGGGGCCTTCGGTGAGGAAGCCCTGGTGCAGCAGCTCCAGCCGCTGCGCGGGCAGACCGCACGTGAGTCTCCAGGGGCCCGTGACCCCAGCGCCGCTCCAGCCCCCCGCAAGCCCTCTCACCCGGACGCCCACCTGGCTCTCGAGCGGCATGTTGTACACCTCCGAGTCCAGCAGCATGGTGCAGGCGCTGAACGGCACCGCCTGGTTCGCGATGGTCCTCGCCGCCCGGCAGTGAACCCGCAGGATCTCCTGTTCGCAGGAGACGATCAGCTTCTCCTGGGAGAGAGGGGCTGGTGAGCTGAGAGCCACCCGGGCCGGGCGCCCTGGGCCCGCGGCTGCCCGCTTACCCGCTCGATGCTGTGCTGCAGGCGCAGCTTCCCACGCACGGCCTCCTGCTGCTTGAACAGCTCCTTCAGGGGCTCCGCCAGGGAGGGAGGGGGCGCGATCTGCGGCCACAGGGGGAGACGGGGGTCAGCGGGGCCGTGAATCACCCCAGCCGCCCCACTTGCAGGAGTCACCCCAGAGACCACGGTCCCATGAAGACGCGGACGCGCTGGGGGATGCCTGTCCCCAAGAGTAGGTGAGCGAGCACCCGTCCCCTGCGTGTGGCTGGGAGGAGGGCGGCCGGGGAGGGAGCGGCAGAGGTGGGGGAGGCGAGGGAAGCTAGGAACAGAGGGCATCTGCACCTCGGCCCTTGCGCAGCCAGGAGGGGATGGAGGAGGGGCAGGGTGTCCTCTGTTTACCGCAGGCTTCACGCACCCTGAGACCCACCGGGACACAGCTGCCCAGAAGCCACACGAACAGGACAACTGGGCCCGCCCCTCTTCCCAGGGCGTCAGTGAGGGAGAGGGCTCGCCGGGGCACTACCCCCAGGTGCTGGAGGCCACCCCTGAACCCAGAAGGGCGCTTCTCCCAGGAGAAGCCGCCGGTGCTTCCGAAACACACAGGAAGCATGTCACAACAGCACCAGATACGGGCTGGAGCCTCTCGTGGGGCCGGGAAGCAAGAGCGTGTTCAGGAGGGACTGCCGAGGAGCCCCTCCCTGGTGGCCGAGGCCAAGTAGGGGGCAGTGGCTCATGTGGCCACGACCTCGGGCTGGAGGGGAGTAATAATGCCCACGGTACAGTGGCCGCCACAGACAAGACCCTCGGAGGGGCTGGACTCGAGGCCCAAGCTCAAGGTACATGCTCTCTTCCAACTTTTCGGTCCAAAATTCTCAAAACCCGAGATGAAGCCACCCAGCCGGGTCTCTGGCTGCACGTCCTGCCCATCACGCCCCGGGGGCCCAGGGCGCCGGCCTCCCCTTGCCTCTTGGGCGCCTGCGGTGGTCTCTGTATAGGGGTCTTGTTTGGGGCCGTTGTGGGTGTGAGGTCACCTCCATTTCACCCTCCCCGGCTCCAGAGGGTGTGGGAATGAGGCCTTGGCCTGCCCTCACCCCCAACAGCCTGGGTCTGGCTGCGGGGCGACAGGCTGTGAACCGGAGCCCACCGCTAGAAAGGGCTGAGCTCCAAGAGACACACAGGTTGCTGCGGGGTGAACTCGGGTGGCGGGGGTTCCAGGGGGAGGCAGGAGCACGGCTTTCTCTCTAGTTTCCAAATGTTCTAGGTGGCCACGGTGCTGTTTGTCTAAATTTTAGTTACTGAAACCAAACAGCAGCAAAGTCTCACTGACCGGGGATCCCAGGCCAGGTTCCCCTGCATCCAGTGCCTCGGGCTCCCCCTCTCGGCTCCACTTCCTGCCTGGGAACAGGCGGCGCAGGCCGGGGTCTGAGCGCAGGACGCATCCCGTGCAGCACCGACGACCGTTAACGGGGGCTTCTCCCAGGCCCGAGAGACAGAACAAGCCGAAAGCTGGGCTTTCTTCCTCACGGGGGTGGGGGTGGGGTGGGCTGGTCAAAAAATGAGGCAAGTCCGCCACACAGGTGTGGATGGGCAGCACCTGGGCAGCACCGCGAAGCCTGGGGGCCGGGGCGGCTCTGGCTACCACTGAGCACAGGTGGCTGAGATCAGCTTTACTGGCCGCGACGCCTATGCCTGCTGCCTGGGGGAGGGGGGGGCGGGCGGGGCAGCAGCACGTGGAGGATGCGCGCTCCCCGCGTGGCTTTCTTCATGTGGCAGGACCTGCCAACGGCCCGCGTCTGGGCGTGAAGAGGGGGTGGGGTGTGTGCGGCGGGGCTCGGACAGGTCACGTCTGCACAGACGTGGGGCGAAGCACCAGGGGACGGGGCACGCGAACAGACGGCCGAGAGGCGGGGCGTGGGCCTGACTGGGCAGGTGGGGAAGCCCAGAAACCCAAGGAAGGACCTGCTCTGAGGAGGCAGGAGAGGGGCCCTCAGGCCTCTAGGGGAAAAGGTCTGGGCTCTGGCCTTGGGTTGGCACCGTGGGGCCGCTGGGGGCCAGGGTTGGAGTCTGGGGAGCCCTCGGGCTGTTTAAGGGGATGGAGGGGACACTGAACCAGAGAGGGGGCCAGGCGCGCCCCACGTGGGTGGAGCCTGGGTCAGCCGAGGTCCAAGCGCGCGGACTGGGTGGGAGCCACCACGGGGCAGACGGGGAATGACGGGGAGGACGGCGCAGCGGGTCCTGGGCCTGGGGGGCGGCCCCCACCCCGGGCAGGCACTCACCACGGGGATGTGCAGCTTGCTGAGGGGCTTGCCGTCCAAGAGGTAGGAGCCGGTGTAGGTGACGTACTCGGCGTAGCACTGGGGCGCCTGCGGGCTGATGTAGCAGAGGATCTTGCGCTTCTCCTCAATCTTCTTCCTGATCTGCAGGTACTCGAAGTACGGGTTGGACCTGTCGCTGTGGTAAGGCTCGATGTCGTCCAGCTTGATGGCGTCCACGATGGCAGCCAGCGTCTGCTGGATCACCTCCCGCGTCTGACGCGTGGACGTGTGCATCTGCTGGGCCAGCTGCTGGCTGGAGCGCTGGAAGCGGCGCTTGCGCGGGTGCTGGGCCTGGGGGTCGTCGTCCTCAGAGCCGCGGCCCTTGGCCCTGGGGGTGGGCGCGGCCGCAGCCTCCTTCTCGGTGGGCGGCGAGCTCTGCTTCTGCTGGTTGGCCAGCATCTGGGCCCGGGTCCTGGTCATGCGCTGGGGGATCTCCTCCACCTTGGGCGCCTTTGGGGCTTCGGCTGTCGGTTTGGGTTCCGGTTCGGGGGCTTCAGCCTGGACGCCGTCCGGAGGCCCCTCGAGCCCGGCACTGTCCTGGGGGCCGGCCCCATCCGCTGCGCGGGCCTGGGCCGAGCCGTCCCCGGGGGCGTCAGGAGCACTGTGGGGCGTGGCCAAGGGGTCTGGGCCCTCGGCCTGCTCGTCCCCACTCCCCGGTGGATGCTGCTCTGAGGGGGCTGGCGTGGGCCCAGAGCCAGGGTCGGAGTCCTCGGGGGCCCTCCCCTCCGGCCCGGCCCCGGCCTCCACTGTGGCCTCGGGCAGCGCGACTGGCTTCGGCTCCTCTGGGGGCTCGGGCGCAGGCTCGGCTGTGAGCCGGGCGGCCACCTGGTCAGGAGGCAGCACCCGCTGTTCGTCAGCAGCTCCCACAGGGACGTCCCCGCCGCTCGGGAGCGCGGGGGTGTTGTCCAGAGGAACGAGAGGACTCTCTTCCACAGGCTCTGCTTCGGCATCGGAAACATCCTTCGTCTGGAGAGGAAGCTCCGGCAGCGAGAAAGGCCCCAGGTCGAGGTCATCCTCGGTGGCGGGGAAGGCACCGGGCCAGGGCACCGGCTCCACCTGGCCAAGGGCAGACAGGTTGTGACCACTTTCCAGGAAGTTATTCTCCAGGGGACCCAGGGCCTCTACCTGAGCCACGGCCGTCACACACGCAGACTCGGGGGGTGCGTCGGGGGGCGCTTCCGGAAGGGACTTGCAGTTACTGAAGAAGGACTCCAGCCTGGAGGGAGGGGCGAACGCGGCTGGCTCTTGTGAAGCAGAGACCGCGGCCGGGACTGCTTCCCCGGCCTCGTCCTTGACTTCCAGTCCCGGCTCGGGGACCGACAGAGGGTATGAGACGGGCGACACCGGGTAAGGGGGCTCCGAGTGGAGAGACTCGGCAGGGCAGAAATGTTTCGGGGACTCCGGGAATCTCTGTGGGGACTTCAGCAGGAGGTCCGACCCCACAGGCCAGCTGGCCGGGTTTTCGGGGGTGCCCCCGATGAGGCCAGAGGGGAGGCCCTGCTCCACGGTGGCGGGGTGTGCCCACTCGACCGGCTCCTCTGTGATGACGGTGCTGAAAGGGCCCTCGTCCAGGGGCTCCAGGAAGCTGGGCTCCGGGGGGATGATGGCCGCGGTGGCCTGCTGGTCCTCCGTGGCATCCAGGGGAATGCCAAGGTCAGGGGGAAGGGCCCCCTCCATGGACGGGGCCAAGAGCTCGTCTCTGTGTGAAGGGGGGGACTTTGTTGGTAAGCCGGAGAAGGCGCCCTCTGGGGAGGGGGTGATGTTGGCTGCGGCCGCAGGCGGGCAGTGCAAGGCGTCCGCTTTGGGGGAGGGGATGCCATAGTCCGGGGAGTAATACCCCGGAGACAGGCAGGCGAACTTCTCAGTGGGTGCTGGGGGCCCCGGGGCCTTGTCCTCCGGGTGCTGCCCCGGCGAGCTGTAGCTGGGCGCCGCAGGGACGCTCTGCTGTCTGAACAGCTTGTCCCCAAGTCCGAACTCTTCCTCAGGGGTCCTCCTGATGTCCACAGACACCGAGCGGTAAAGGTTCGCGCACAGCGGCCTCGTAGGTGTCTGGCCCGGTGTTTCTGAAGTCCCGCTGGCGGCCACGGAGAACCTGTCAAAGAAGGAGGGCGAGCAGGCGCTGGCGGACGTGCTGGACACGGGCTGGGGGTCTGTGCAGTCGAACATGAGGTCGGGGTAGTCATCGGCGCTGCAGGACGGGGTCCGGGGCGTGTGCATGGCCTCCTCGTAGCTGGGGCAGGACACCACCGAGGCGGGGGTGGGGACCCCGGTGGGCCGGCCGTGGTCCGGCCTGGGGGAAGCGGGCAAGACCTCTTTCATGTGGGGGCCTGCCAGCCAGTCTCGGGGGTCCACCGCGGGTCCCGGGTGGGGCTTGTTCTCGGCAGCAGGGGCGGCAGGGGCTGACTCCTTGAGCTTCTTGTCCTTCGGGGCAGGGTCCAGCCCCAGCGGCTTCTTCGGCGGGCCGTCCAGGCCCTTCTTCCGCCCGTCCTCGGCGGGCCTGGCCTTGTCCTTGAGCTTGGGGTCACCAGACCGGTGGCGCAGCTTCTCCATCTGCTTCATCCTCTCCTTGTGCCGTTTGTGGCGCTCCTCGATCTCCAGGTCCTTCTGGGAGAGCATCCGCTCGAAGCTCGTCATCATCAGGTCCCCGTCGCCCAGGAGCTTCTCCCGCGGCCGGATGTCTTTCTTACTGGGGTCTCTAACCGGGAGGAGCTTGTCGTTCCCATTGCTCAGCTTTACGGGGTCGCCCTTGTCCTTCTCCAGATTCTCCTTGACCTTCTCCTTCAGCTTGGCCTCGCCAAGCTTCCCGCCCTCGTCCTTGGGCTTGTCTCGGAAGGAGCCGGGAGGGTTGTCCTTGTCCCTGGCCGCGGGCTTAAGCTCCTCCCGGTGGTGCCGCGGGGGCCCGTCCCCGTGCCGGTCCCGGTGCCGCTCCTTCTCGTCCCGCCACCGCTCCCGGTGCTTCTCCCGCCGCCTCTTCTCCTTCAGGAGGCTCACGGTGCTAGAGCCGTAAGGCCTCAGTTCCTTCTCTACCTTCTTGGGAGGTTCTCTTTCAGGATCATTTTTCTCCTTCTTTTCGGTAGAAAACAACTCGATGGTTTTCTCTAACTCGTCCTCTGCATCGGCCTTGATGCCGTAGGAGAGGCCGTAAGTGTCGGCCTCCAGGACCTCCTTCTCGTACTGGCCGCTGTCCTTCCGGCCGCCCGTGTCCTTGCAGTCGTCGCTCTTCTCCTTCTTCTCGGGCTTGTCCTTCCTGACCCGCTCTCGGTCATGGCTCTTCTTGGAGGAGGACGAGGCGTGCCGGTGCCGCTCCCTCTCGCGCGCCCGCTCCTCCGGGGGCTCCGGGAAGGGCGCCTCCAGGAGGGCGCCGAGGCCCGGGTCGTGGCCGCGGTCGGGGAAGCCGTCCGACGACGCGTCGCTGGCCTTGTCGTTGGAGTCCTCGCGCAAGTCCTGCAGCGCCGCCTCCTCCAGCCGCTCCAGCAGGCTCTTCTCCGCGTCAGTGCCCTTGCTCGCCTTTCTCTCGCGGCCCTGCTCCCGGTCCGGCCTCTCCCGGTGCCTGCTCTTGGCCTTGTCCTCCGCAGGGGGCCTCTTCTCCCCCTTCTCGGGGAGCAAGGGGAGCCTCTGCTTGTTCCTCTTGTCCTGAGTGGAGTCCACCGACGCTCGGTCCTTCCTGTCCTTGTATTTTTCCGTGGACTCTCTGTCCTTCTTCTCTTTGTGCTTTTCCAAGGTTTTTTCTTTCTTGTCCTTCCCCCCGTCTGTGGCGCCCTTCTCCTTCTTCTTCTCTCTGATTTCTTTGTCTTTCTGCTTCTCCGCATGCTGCCTGTCGGCCGAGTGCTTCCGGTGCCTGTCGGGGGGGTGCGGCTCCCGCCCGTCCTCCCTCTCGGGGGGGCCATCCCCCCGCCCCTCGCCGGCCTCCCCGACTTTGAATCTGCTCGCCGCATAATCATCTTTTTCATCTTCGCTTTCATCAGTGAATATGTCTGCAATGTACCAGCTTTTCTCTTTACCCTTCTTTTCATCTTTTTTTTCAGAGAAGTCCTCGGAGAGAATTCCGGGGAAAGCCTTCTCCCGTTTGTCTTTACCTTGGTCGAGAGATGCTTTTCTGTCTTTGTCTTTGCCGTGCTTTTCCTTGGCGTCCTTTTTCTCTTTGAAACACTTATCAAGGTCTTTGTCCTTCTGGCACTTCTCAAGCATCAGTCTTTCATTTCTGTCCTTGTCACTGGGCTTCTCTTTGTGCTTCTCCAGCTTTAGCCTCTCCTTCCTCTCCTTCTCTCTCGCCGGGTGGTGCCTCTCCCAGGGCTCCAGGCTCTTCCCGAAGTCGCAGTCGGGCCTGTCCTTGAAGACTCCCTCGCAGCCGCACTCCTTCAGGTCCTCCCTGTGCGCCTCCTCGGGCTTTGCACGGCCATCTCTCCGCTCCTTGGCGGCCTCGGGGGGCTCCTTCCTGTCCCGGCCGCCTTCCGCACACTCCCGCCTCCTCCTGTCCTTCTCGCAGAGGTAGCCGGGCACGGCCCTGTGCCTGTCGGCAGCGTGCTCTCTCCTCCGCTCCGAGCCCCGTTCCAGGCAGTCCCTGTCCTTCTTCCGAGAGAAGATGTCCCTGTCCGTGCGCTTCTCCCGGGCCTTGTTCTCCCGCCTCTTCTCCCTACTGTCCTCTTTCACCGTCTCCAGGATCAGCCTGGCCACAGACTCGCTCTTCATGTCCCTGTAGTCTGTCACTGCAGAGTCCCAGCTGTCTTCCCCTTTGAAATCGAAGGATGAATCTGACAAGTCAGAGAACCACCGATCCTGGTCATCAGAAAGACTAAACTTGGTGTCTTCGTTCTCCAGAAACTGACTTTTGTTACAATATTCGTCAAAAGCAGACTCCTCCCTGTACACTTTTTTGAGTTTTTCTTTCTCTTTATCCTCTTTGAAGGTCTTCTCCCTCTCTTTTGAAGTTTTGTCCTCTTTAAAGTCATTCTTTTTCTCTAGCTTGGGGGGCCTGTCTTTGGACTTCTTCCTTCTTTCCTCCTTGTAGAGCCTCAGCTTTTCCTCTTTTGGAGACTTTTCCTTCAGCAGCTTCTCCTTGTCGGCTTTGCTGCACCGGTCCTTCTCCTCCCGGAAGGCCCTGCCCCCGTCCTTGTTCAGCTCCCTGATTCTCTTGAGCGACTTCTCCTCTCTGGAGACCTTGATCATCTCGTCCTTGAAGAGCCACTCCTTCTCCTCCGCCTTCATTTTGCTGAGCTTCTCCTCCTTCTTACAGGGGTCTCTCTCGTGCTTCAGGCCTTTCAGCTTGCCCTCAGCCGGCACGTCGTCCAGGAGGATCGCCTTGTCTGCCCTCTGCTTGGAGTCCTCGTACTCGTAGGTGAAGCTCTTCAGCTTCAGCTCCTGGCTGACGGAGCACAGCCCCTTCTCCTTGCTTTTGTGTTTATGTTTCGTCTTGTGTTTCTTGACGACTTTGCCCTCCTTGTCCAGCTTGGGGATGGCGCCGTCCCCGCCAGGATGGAAGGAGTTCTTCCTATCGGGCAGCGCGCCCTGCAGGCCGGCCCTCTTCCTGTGCTCCTGCCTCTTCCTGACCGGCTTCAGTGACTCCACGCTGGAGCCCTCGGAGGAGCCATCAGACTCGCTGCTCAGTCTCGTCCTCGTGGAGTCTGATAAGGAGCTGACCTCGGACCAGGCTGGAGAGGAGATGGTTTTCCAGTTGTCTGTCCGCCAGTGCTTGGCGTGCGGGTCCGCGTGGCTGGGGTTATGCTTCTGGGGGGCGGAGCTGCCGTGGGACGAGGTGGAGGAGGCGGACAGGGAGCTGAACAGGGCAGGGTCCTTCAGCACCAGCGGGGACTCCTTGAGGCAGCCGGGGCTCCCCGCCGAGCCCCCACCGTCCTCGCCGCTCTCCGAAGACTCGCTCTCGGACTCGGAGGAGCAGAACTTGTCGCTCCTCTTCCCAAACCGCACTTCTTTGCCCTTGATTTCTTTCTTTCGCTTCTTTTTCACTTTATTTTTCTCCTTCTGCTGCTTGCAGTTGGAAGGCTCCCGTGTCTTGTTACCAGGCAGCATCGTGTGAGCCGAGAGTCTCAGCTTCTCCCCGGTCCCCACGGCGACACCGACGTCCTCCTCGTCTGACGTGTCCGACAAGATGCGGTGAGACGCCTTCTTTGGTGCAATCGTGCTATTTTTAGTGTAACTTTTCACTTCCATTTTGGGTATAGAAATAAAACTATTTGACTTAGTTTCCTTCCTGTAATCCTTTTTCAGCAAGTGTTTGTCGTCCACGGGAGGGGTTCTGTCCTGCTCGTCGTCCTCGTCAAACTCATACTCATCCTTGACGGGGGTCACAGTTTTCTGGGGCTCCGGATTCTTAGTCTTGTGCTTCAGACCTTTCTCAAACTCGGAGTCCGTGTTATTGCCGTCGACTGAGCTGGAAGGTGCGAACGATGGGGCGTCGTCCTCCTCCTCGGAGCTCTCTGCGGGGACAGGGGGGAGGAGGTCAGAGGTGCTTCAGGCAGGGGCTGCGGGCACCTGGGGAGGGGAGGGGAAGGCGCCCGTCCAACAAGCGCGTCACCTGGCTTAGTTCAGGTTGAGGCTGGCCCCGGGCAGAGGGGCTACAGAGAGGTCTGCACAGACACGGGGCTGGAGACCCTGCACGGAAGCCCCCCATCCCGGCTCAGGGTGGGGGACTCCTCACGGGCCAGAAGCTCCCGTCAGCAGCAGGCATCCAAGGAGGCTGCCGGGAGAGCCCTGCTGACCGCGGTGACGCCACCTGCCCAGCCCGCGCCCCCGCAGCACTGACCGGCCGAGCTCGCCTCGCTGGACGTGTAGGTGCCCTTGCCCAGCAGCAGGTTCACCATGGTTGGGGAGCTGGCCACCTTGAGCGGCGTCTCGCCCTTCCTGTTGCTCTGCTGAGGGTTCCCTCCATACCGGAGCAGCAGCTTCACCACCTGCGGAGCAGTGAGAGGCCCGTCAGGGACCCTGAGAAACACAGAGCGGCCGCCACGCTGATGCGCAACTGCGGCCCCTTCACAGGGCCTGAGCACGACCAGGCCAAGGGGTGGAGGCTGTTCACGCTGCCCGCGAGGCCTCTCCCACCAAAGACCCACCACTCAAAACAGGCTGCCTCCTCTCGAGCCGCCGGGTTCCTGCAACTTGGGGGGAAGGCTTTTATGGGGGGGGTGGGGGGTGGGGGCGTGTTACACAGTACAGAAAACAAAGACCAAGCTTGTGCAAGCAGGTTTATTGCATGTTTGTTTATTGCAGGAAAGTAAGATCACCTGTCGCTAATCCGTGCCCAGGACCCACTGAACGCAAGGACAGCAGACCTCACTTTACTGCGCTTCAGATGCCGTGTTGTCTACAGACGGAGGGTCTGCGGCGACCCTACCCTGCACCCAGCGAGTCTACTGGCGCCATTTCCCCGACAGCATTTGCTCACTTGGTGTCTGTGTGTCACATTTTGGTAGCTCTCGCGGTATTTCAGACCCTCCACCAGCAAAAAGATCACGACTCCTGGAGCTTCAGGTGACAGTTACATTTTTTAGCAATAATGTATTTCTTTTTTTTTTTAAGGCCGCATGGCACAGCATGCAGGATCTTAGTTCTCTAACCAGGGATTGAACCCGTGTCCCCTGCAGCGGAAGCGTGCAGTCTTAACCACTGGACCGCCAGGGAAGTCCCGCAATAATGTATTTCTTAACGAAGGAGTGCAACTTGTTTATAGATACTGCTATTGCACACCTAACGGCAACCGTCCAGTGCAGACAACGTTCAGATGCACCAGGAAACCAAAGAATTCTGTGTGACTCACTCCATCTCGATCCTCGCTTCACTCGGGTGGCCGGGGCGGAACCGACAGCCTCCCCCAGGTGCCTGGCAAACGGGACGGCGGCCTCCACGTCAGCCCGGGCTGCACGCAGGTGTACCTGGGTCTGCATGGCGGGAGCAGGACACTGCTTCCTGGGCAGGCGCTCCCCTGCCCTCTGGCAAATCACCACGGTGCTGGACAATCCTGGGGCCAGAGTCAGGGCTCTGGTCCCGTGTCCTTGCTGTCTGCCAGCCGACGAACACCCCAACTGCTTCAGGCCACCACGTTCCCTGGCTACGGCCCCTCCCTCTGAGACCAGCAACGCAGGTTAAGTCCCCTCAATGCCGTCCTCCCTCCGGCCGAGAAACGGTCTCTGCCGTATGCAGCCCCGAAGGCCACCAGCCCACCCGGACAGTCCTGGGTCATCTCCCATCTCCTGGCCCTCAGCCTTCTCCCCTCTGCAGAGCCCACACCTGAGGCCACGTGTCCATTGTCTCTCACTGCTCCCTAATAACAAGTTTAAAGACAATTACACAAGCGGAGATTCAGGCGGCGGTCCTCTCCCTCCCAGCTCCATCACCTACCAGCCAGCCAGCCTCATTTCACCCATACCCCATACCTGCCCACTGCCCCGGGTATCTTTTTGTTTTTTAATTTTTGGCTGTGTCGTGTCTTAGCTGTGGCAGGCGGGACCTTTCGTTGCGGTGTGTGGGCTCTTCGTTGCGGTGCGTGGGCTTCTCTCTAGTTGCGGCGCGCGGGCTTAGTTGCCCCATGGCACGTGGGACCTTAGTTCCTTGACCAGGGATCAAACCTGCATCCCCTGCGTTGGAAGGCGGATTCTTAAGCACTGACCACCAGGGAAGTCCCTGCCTGCCCTGGTTTTTTTTAGCAAATCCCAGATATTTCATAAAGGTTTTCAGCATACTTCTTCTCTAAAACGGCTCTTAAAAAGCAGTAACAACGAAAACCCCATAATGCCATCGTCTTCCCTAAAACGTTAACTAATTCCTGACGTCAGCTCTGTAATCAGCACTCGGGTGTCCCAGGTGTCTCGGCATCCTGAGCTCAGAGCACCTCCCAATCTCTCCCTGCGCCAATGCGTCATTTTCACACTGGCCACACTGCCGGTTCCCTGACACCTTCCTACAGTGACCAGCGGGGCCGCCACGACAGACCAGATGCACTCAAACAGCTGCCACGTGTCCTCATCACGCACCACCCCAGCTCTGGCCAGGGGCCTCTTGGACAGTGTGGTGGTGACCGCAGCCAGGCCCTCACCTACACGTGCGGCTCCTGCATTGGACCTGAGGGGCCGTGCCCCAGGTGCTCGCGGCTCCTGGGCTGCTCACCCCATGTTGTCTACCCCCGTCCAGGCTGCCGGGTCTGGCGGCAGCACAGGGCCGAGGACAGGCAGAGCCCCCCTGCCTCTGGGTATGACCACCCACCTCCTAATGGCTGACCACACCTGAGTGGCCAGAGCAGGGCCCTGACACACAAGCCACAGACGGCGCGAGAGGCCACCCAGGTGCTGACCCAGGGTGAGAAAGCTGGGCTGGGGGGGAGGCGGGGCCTGTCAAAGATTCACTTCCTGGTCACCCCGCACACAGGAAGGACAGAGAAACAGGTGGCTGCGGACCAGTGCACAGTCTAATGGCAGGCCTGCCGTGGGGTCTGCGGGGAGGCGCCCACCTTGTAGTGCCCATTGTTGGCGGCGTCGTGCAAGGGGGTGTCATCATCCAGGCCCTTGGTGTTCACCTCTGCGCCGGCGGCCAGCAGCTGCTTCGCGACATCGTAGTAGCCCCGGTTACAGGCCTCGTGCAGCGCAGTCCAGCCTGGAAACAGACACTCAGCACGTACGTGATTTAACCCTCAGGAAGGTCACTCCCGCTGCTGGGTGGCACTCAGGAAGCGCTAAGGACGGGACAGAGGCCTGGTGGGCACCCAGACTAGAAATGCCGAGTGGTCTTTACTTGGGCGCCTCTGGGTTGCTCGTGACCTCTAGCGGTTAACCTTACAGACTAAGAATCTGAGAGGGTGACGTGGCCCACCGAGCTGACCAGGGTACAGGATCAATGAACACAGGGTCACAAGGGGCAGCCTCAGCCCAAGTCACCTGTCAACACACAGGGAGGATGTGCCCTGTCTGCAGACAGGGAAGCAGGCAGGGCGTGGCCACGGCCGCAGGTCTGGAAGGGCCTCCGTGAGCATGCGCTGAGGCCTCTCGGGGAGCAGCTGCTCACGTCGGCACGCACACAGAGCTGCCCCGTGGACAGATCCCAGGGCTTTGGAAAAATGCAACTTGGGAAAATCGCTTTTTTTTTTCCTTTTAAAAAAAAAAAAAGGTGCTAAACTAGGTTTGGGTCCAACACCCAGGGCCGTGGGAAAACCTAGGATTCCACACAGGAAGGCCTCCTGGTCTCACAAACACTCCTCTCTCAGTGCACGGCTCTGGACACACAAAAAGAGCAAATCATCCTACGTAAAAGGGGGTCTGCCCCACGGCCCTCCCTCCGAGCTCTCACCTGCGAAGTCCTTGACGTTGACGTCCGCCCCCTCGCTGATGAGCTCCTTGATACGCCGGGCGTCCCCCCGGATGGCCGCCCGGTGTAGGCGGGTCTCTCCACGCTCATTTCTCTTGTTCACTTTATCTTTGGTTTTTGAGGCAGAATTGGGCGTCCCCTTCTGACACACTGTCGACTGGGAGGGGTGCTTTGGTGTCGTGTCCACTGCAGGCCGAGGAGAGGATGGGCGGAGGTTACCGGGAGGGACCTGCGGGGCTGGGCCACCGTCCCAAAGGAGGGCCTCCCAGGCCCCAGGACCACCTGCCCCCAGGGCTCACCTGGGCTGTTGGCAGACTCCTCGGCCGTCATCTGCATGAGGAGAGCCACCTGCTGGCGCTCCGAGAGCGGGTAGCCGGCGCGGATCCCGGACAGCCCCATGCCGAACAGCAGCCCGGCCTTGCGGGCGACAGGCTCCTTCTTGATCCTCTTCCGCTCGGGACCCTGCTTCTCTGTGAGGCGTGGAGGAGAGAGGGGAGACTTCATGCCACGGAGCCCTCTGACTCCGGGGCCGCACAGCCTGCGGGGGAGGGGAGGGACAGCTGGCAGCACGCACGCTGCCCGTCATCACCTCTTCCGGCAGTAGCTGTGCTGGGGACACGATTCCGACACCTCGTCACCAGCCACTGAAGCCAAGCCTGGCCCCCACCGACCGTCCACCGCTCCAGGTGCCTCCCCAGACCGTGCCCTGCGCGCCAGGCGGCGGGACGGACGACCCCGAGTCCCGGCTCACTCAGGACGGGCCTCGGTCTAGCAACTCCTAGTGTCTGTGGTCCAGGTCCTCCTCCCCACCCCGCCTCCAAAGAGTTCAGATGTAAATGCAAACACAGCTTGGAGACCCGCGGAGAGGTCAAGGCTGGCTGGGCGGTACTGTACCTTTCTTCTTGCTTCTAGGAGCCTCCATCTCATGCCATGGCGCTTCGAGGAGCGAACCAGCCTTGCAGTACCACGGCGTGGACTGAGCTGGAGGCATCTAAAGGCATCAACACAGAGCACTAACGAGATACGGCGCCGGCCCGGCGCCCCTCAGCCTCCTCACGACAAGCATACTGTGCTCCTCTGGCCCCTCACCTAACACCCTGCCGGCCTCAGGCAGAAACACTGCGCCGTGTCTTTCACAGGGGCAGGGGGGGCGGAGAGAAGAGACACCCCCCACTCCACGGACCAGGAGCCAAAAGCTCACTTTGCTCCACACTCACCCTCCTACTCACAGGAACTGGGGCTCCGTCGAGTCTCAGACCCCTCCCCTGCTGCCCTGTGTGCTCTGGGGAGCCCGGGGATGGGGGGGGCCTAGGTCACGGGTGCGGACCACGGGGAGGGAAGCTGGGTCGCCACGGGGCCCGGGTGTCTGAGGGGCTCTCCCTGCCCTCCGCGTCCCCGGGCTGGGGCGACCTCTCCACTCCCACAACTACAACCCTGGGCTGCTCTCCACCTCAGGCCCCACAAGCGTGTCACGCTTTCCATTTTCTTACAAAGCGTTTTCTGTAAACAGTTATTTCCTTAAAAAGTACCTTAAACTGCCTTTTTAAAAACTGAAGTTGTGATCTGCTGACAACGGTGATCTGTGCATCTTAGGTGATGACCCCCGAGCACCACACGCCACCCCGCCAGCAACAACTGGTTTCTAACCAACGCACGAGGCATAGGCCCAAGCAAGGAGGAAACTCAGAAAGGACGCTCCTCAGGGGTGACCAAGGACCCCGCTCGCCTTCTCCCCCGCCCCCAATTCCCCCACGACCCGGCAAAAGCAGTGAGGAAAGGGCGGCACATGGCCCCGGCTCTTCGAGGAGGCCTCTGCACAGGGCACAGCTGGCACCCAGCAGCTTCAAGGAGCCCCGAGAAACGAAGCCACGCTGGGGCAGTGGCCGGACCTGGGCAGGAGCCTGGCTCAGAAGCTCTCCCACAGCTGAGCGCCACGCGGATGGGTCTGGGGGTCGGGGCAGGGGGAGGCCGTGGGGCCCTGCTCTGCCCAACCTCCCGGGAAGCACAGCCTGGCCTCAGACAATTGGGGTGTCTGGCCTCTCAGGGGCGGTGGAGACACGAAGCCCCCAGAGGAGAGGACGGAAGCAGAACCTCAGCGAAGCGCGTGACCCCGCGGCCTCCCGCGGGCTGTGGGCGGCACCTGCCGAGTACACTGGGTCACCTCGGGGGTGGAAGCAAGCAGCCCAGCCCCCTCTCCGCGGCGCACGGGCCTCCAGGACAGACGCGCCCGTGATTTAAGATGCCAGAGGAGCCCGGCAGAAGGGCCACAGCCACCTCTGTCTTCAAGTGACCGTGCAGCCAGTGGACGCCCAGGACCAGGGAGGTGCCTCGAGGGTCTTGCCTGCGCTGCTGGTGAGTGGCAGCGAAGAAGCAACTTCTACCCAGAGACTCTGATGTCGGCGGCAGAGCTGGGCCCTGTGGCACCGGCCTGTGGTCTCAGGAAGGGGCTGGGAGAGCTGTAAGGCTCAGGCAACCCCAGCACGAGTCCACACCTGCCCAGGGGCCCTGCTCACCCCACACGTGGAGGAGAACAGACTAACCCAACCCTCTGGTCTCCCCAGGCTTAACACAGGGAAAAACCCCAAATGTAATCCCATCTCCTGAGGCGCCAACTTCTCGGTGGTGGAGTGTACTTCTCTACAGGTGCCGCGGCTGCCGGGATCTGGAGAGCCCACGTCTGGCCGGGCTGGGAGTCGCAGGTGGAGCGGCTGCCCACGGAACCCGGGCCACAGAGGAGCGGAGGCCGGGGCGCTGGTGCTGCAGAAGGGCCTTCCTGCCCAGCCACTGCGTCCTGTCGGCAGGGGCCAAGCCGGGGGTCAACCCAGGTGAGACCTGCAGAACGTCCTTCCTGCCCTGCCCTGAGGTGGGCAACGGCCCCACCTGCCAGCGCTGGGATGGGGGCACGGCAGAGGAGGTGCCCGGGCAACGGCCCAGCTCCCTCAGCGCTCTGCCAGCATTTTGTTTCTCACATCCAACCGGAAGCAGAACAGAAGTTACACGAAGCCCAGGCGGCGTGTGTCAAGCTGTAGACTGGAAAACTGGCAGGTCCGTGTGAGTGGCGAGCAAGGCCAGAGGGTGCTGTGGAGGCGCAGGGGCTGGAGCACACCCTGCCCCCTCGTTCTCCGGGGACGCCAGCCGTGCCATCTTCCCAGGGTAATGGGGGGAAGGCAGTCTCACGAGCCTGGACAGTCCCCTCACCGTGAGGAAAGCGAAGCACAGCCGTGTGACTCGGCCTGTATGTCCATGGCGCCTTGATTCTCACGCTCAATCACCTCGCTGGTCCTCTGTGAAATCGGGGCCACGTTTATCATCTCTTCCTGGGACACGGTCACCCAGCTAGCAGATGCAAGGATCCCCAGCCCCCCAGGCCATCCCTGCGTTTCCCCCTAAATGCGTTCCTGTCTCCCCCGGAACACGCCTCTGCTCTCCTCCCACAGCCCCCATGGCCTCTGCTGGGGCTGGGCCTGCGGAGGGCGCAGCCCTGAGGGCCTCTGTTTCAGGACCCAGCACCCAGAGTCCACTCCTCCTGGGGAGTTTCACTCCCCAGCAAAACTGACGGCGTCCAGTGGAGAACTTCCCCGAGTCACGGCGAATCCTGGCAGCAGAGACACAGAGTGAGCTTCTGGGAGAAGGTCTCCTCTGGCTTCCGGGACGTGGTCTGCAGACACTCTCCCGGCCGCCTTCTGTGTCCCCTCGGGCGGTCCCGTGGTTCCACACGACGCTCTGCGTGGAGCCCGCACCCTGCGCAGACACTGGCGGCCCCGTGTGCCCCTCCTGGACCCCGGTCGGCAACTCCCCTCTTCCTTCTGTGCGTCCGCCGAGGCGGCGTCTCCAGGCTCAGCAGCTCCCAGCTCACTCACCCTGCTCATGGTGCACCCGGTAAGCGCTAGAACCCGTCCCCCGCCCGAATGCTTCGTTTCAGCAATCGTTTCTGCTGCCTCATGCTCTGTTTTACACTGTGAAAACCCTGCCTGATCTTCTGGACGCTGTTCTGTGTCTGCTCGGGTGTCTTCCTCCTGTGGCGGCCATCTCTGGGTCCAATCCTCGTCTCCGCTCTGGGGCTAGGAAGGCGCACAGAGGCCCAGGGAGGGCCAGCCCCATGGGGGCAGGACGGCGTGAGCCTGGGGAGCCCTCTCGGCCCCCAGGCGGGAGGAGGGCATCTTCCAGCCGGAGGTGTCGGCAGGCACGGCTGCCCTCAGCCCGTCCACTGCCACCAGACGCCCCGTGGCTGACAACCAGGGCGTACCACGTTGCCCAAAGTGGGGAATCTAAGACTCTCGTCAGATGTCACCATCGTCAGGGCTCCGCCCTGTGGTGGGGAGGGGGTGGAGGAGGTCCTCGGTCTCCCATGAAGTTGCAGGGCTCGGCCCACGGCAGGCTGATGGGAGGTGGGTGGTCGGCACTGGGACCTGCTGTCCCAAGAGCGGCCCGTCCCTTGGCCTCAGAGCACACCTCCCACACCACACAGGGCCTGACCTCCACGATCACTCACAAACACAGGCTTCTGACCAAGGAGCCGGCCCAGGCACAGTCCACGTGTGACAGATACCCCGTCAGGTGACGTGCTGCACAGGGTCCTCCCCGCATTACACTCCGACCCTCCAAGCGCCACTGGACCCACATGGGCACCATCATTCAGGCTGTGGTGACAAACGGCTTCCCTTCCGGTTTCCTGCTCTGTGTCTCCTCCTTTTCCTTTTTAAAAAAAATTTCCAGCATTGATCGTTTAAAGAAAGAGCGGTCTGTGTGGCCTTCAGCAAGTCCCCGGCCTGAGAGGGACAGGCTGGACCCCCCACGTCTCACTCCCCCGGCAGAGGCTGCTCCAGCTCCAGGTAAGGGCGACCACAGAGCCGTCCCCCAGGTGACCGTGATCAGGAGGCCAGAATCCATGGAGGTGAGGTGGGCATAAAGGGCCTGGACAACAGGGGTTCCCAACCACTGACCCCAACTTTCACGACAGCAGTGAATCATAATCCAGACCGCCAGCAGCGCACGAACAGCAGCATCCATCCCGCCAGCCCCAGCCTGCCTGGGGGCCTCCGACCACCCCTCGAGCTCCCCACACCCAGACCCGGGGGTTCACCGGGTGGAGCGGCCACCCTGACCCAGGCCAGAGAGAAGCGGGCCCAGCCACGCCCTCTCGACTTGGCCTGGGCTGGAGGTGGCCAGCGTCCTACACCAGTCCTGCCCGCTCTGGGGTCCCGAGAGCTCCAGGGTCACAGTGTGGGTGGCATGTGCCCTCCCAACCAGCGACTCACAGTGTGTCACGCCTGGCAGGCGGCCAAGCCCCTGCATGGTCAGCCACGTGACCTCCAGCATTTGGCAGGGGGCATGCTCAGAGCCCAGCGCCAGTGAATCCCCGCACACAGGGCAGACTTGAGCAGGAGTCCCGACAGGCCCTGCCCACCAGGGAAGCTGCGTGCCCGCCGCCTCCGTCCCCAAATCCCAGCCCTAGACGGGTGAGCTGCTCACACATCCTCACTGCAGAGCCAGCACGAAGTAGAAGCAAAGAAACGTTGGGAGCTGAGAACAGGCCCCTCTCTGAAGGGCCCTGGGGGCTCCAGGTGGGAGGCAGGAAGGCTGCTGTCAGACTGAGCAAGAAGCCTGCAGGGCTTCATCCACACGGACCTCAGCAGGAGGTGTGCGTACACTTACGTTGCGGGGAAATTAAACACATAAGAAGCAGACAGCAGAGTATAATTTGAAGCAGGTCCTGGTCCCACCAAGACTGGCACCGGGCAGGAGGGCCCCCTCTCCCTGCCTGCAGGTGCCCGCCCGCCGGTGGCCTGAGCTCCAGGGAGGATGCCCCAGCCCTGACTAAGCGCTGCGGGCCTCCTGGGGACCGGGAAACAGGAGGGTGCTCCCAGGGAGCCCGAGGGTCTCTGGGGGATGCTCACCAGCCTCCCCCGCTCAGGGAGCACGGCCGGAGAAACTACTGGCCACTTGCAACCGTCCCGTGAGTGCCAGGCTGCATCTTCCCAGCAGGGGGCACTGGAGGGACACGGCAGGAGCCAGCAGGCAGGGAGGGGACGTGGGAACACGGGGACCTTCAGCTTCCCTAGCTCGGTGCTCACCAGAGTTGGCACTTCTGTACAAGAGCCTCCCCATCTGCCCTGGGGCGGGCGGGCAGGCGGCACCTGGTGGAAGCGAGGCCTCTCAGAGGAAGAGCTTCACTCTGCCTGGCCAGGCGGCCGCTCACCAGGAAGGGCAGGGAGGGGTCAGTGACCAGGGCTGCAGGCGAGGTGCCCAGTCCTGGCCCGAAGGATGAGACGCTCCCAGTTACTGGAGAACAGTTCTGCCACATGACCAAAGCAGGTGTACAAGAAAGCTGCAGGGTCAGCCCCGAACCCCGGGGGCGGGGGGGATGGGCAGGACACAGTCACCCAGTCGAAGGCCCCCCTCCTCCCACACTGTGTACTACTGAAAAAGCCGGCACATAAGCGGAGCCATGCAGCTCACAGTCGTGCTGTTCAAGGGTCAATGGTACAGCAAAACTGGCCCCCAAAGGGATAGCCACTCAACAGTAAGAGGACAAATGCTGGACTTTCCATGTATTTAGACTTTGTCCCTGCCTGGAAAATCCCACTTGCAAAACGTTCTTCAGTTTCCCACCTGCCTGGCGCCCCGTGCTGAGATGCCAACCGTCCCCCAGGCCTGCTGGAGGCCGCCTTCACGGCCAGCACCCCGCAGACACCCCCGAGGACGCCGCGCCCGCCTGTGCTCGGGCAGGGACATCCCAGAGGATGACACCGACCTGCAGGCCCCCCAGCACCCAGGAAGCCGCACCCAACAGCGACGCCACGCCCTCCAGTACCAGAGCTGGCTCGGACACCCAAGCCTGAGCTGGGCCTGTCTCTTCTGCACCCAGAGCCTGAGGCACAGGGTCCCTGCGAGGACTCCCACCTCCTCTGCCCTCCTCCCCGGCCCAACCCCTCCCCTTGCGGAGGACCCCGCGGAGGTCGAGCCGCCTGCCCCGGACCCCAGCCATACCCCAGCTGGCACCACCAACCCCGCCAACCTGCTTCACCAGCCTGCAACTACCCCAGGTCATGCTCAGTGGCTGCGAGCCCGGGGCGCACCCACCGGGGGGTCGCCCCGTGCAGGAGGCGCTGTGAGTGAAGACGTTCATTTCAGGCTGTTCCCCCTGCCGTTTCTCCCAATTCTCTCACATTTATGTCATTCCCGTACCTGCCATTTTCCTGAGACCTGACACAAACCCTCACGTGCAGCAAAGCCCCCTGCCCTCCGCCCGATCCTGGCAGGACCTCTGCTCCTTCCCCCGTGGCTGCATCCTGGGGGACCCAGGCCCCCTCGCGGCTCTGTGGATCCACCCCACACCTGCCCCTGGCTTAGGGGGTCTGCAGTCAGATGACCGGCAGGCGGGGAAGGCCCAGCACACCAGGACCAAGAGGAGGAGTGTGAGCCGGCTGGCAAAGGGGCCGGGTTCTTGCCTGGACCCAGCACGTGTCCCTGCAGGCAGCTCGGATGGAACCAACCTGAACGCACATGCGCCACGTGGTGGTGAGTGGCACACCCGCAGCGCACGCGCAGGGAGACTGCATGCCTCCGGCTCATTCTCACAGCTCCCTCTGGCCTCCATTTCAAACAACTGGGTTTAATTTATGTGCTTCTGCAGCCCTGAGGGGAAACACGTTTATCCTCCCATGTGAAGTTCTCCAGAGGCTCTCCTTGAGAGAGAGGAGCCCGTGCTCACACGCACGGGAGGCCCCTGGGCAGGCTGGGGCTGGGGGAACGTGGCTTCTGTGCACACTTGCGGGAATCCTCTGCCTGGGAATCTGCCCTGTCAGCTGTGAGTCACCCCCTCCCGGGTCCGTGCAGCAGAACTGGGGCGCCGGGGGCGGGTGGGTACCTGTGTCCGAGTCCTTCTGCTCTCCATTGGCGCCCACAGTGAAGGGCAGCTTCCGCTTGGTCGTTCGCTCTCTCACCTCCTTCCCACCATCAGTGCGGTCCAGCTTTGGGGTCTTGGTTAGAGAAACTTTATCTTTATCCTGGAAAAGAGAGTGACGCTTTCAGACGCTGGCCCCAAGTTAGACTCTCAAAGTCCTTAGGTCTAGCAGGACTTCACGTGCCCGGAAAGCAAGTCTCTTATCTGGGCAATGGACACCCCTCCTGCCCACCAGGCTCAGAGGCACCCACGGCCCTACCACCTCGCTGCCTCCTGCCTCGTGTTCCCAGAGATGGACTCAGTAACGGGGAAAACGCACCTTCAGAGGGGCCTGCTGACAGGCGGAACCTGCCCTCTACTGGAAACTCTCCCCGTGACCGTGAACGAAGGGGCCCGGCCTCGCACCAAACGGGAGAGAATGTCTGCCCTGAGACGCTGGCTCCCCTCCAGCGTGTCGTCCCTCGCCTGCCCGGGGCCTGAGCCACCTCTGGTCACCACAGGCCTGTGACACTGCAGGGCCGTCTTTGGGACGGATCTTGCAGCCGCAGCAGCCCCGGAGCAGAGCCCAGTGCGGGCGACCCAGCCCAGAGCAGGAGCTGGCTAGAGGGCGGCCGGGTGTGGCCATCGCTCCCAGCCCTGCTGACCTGTAAGGACCCGGGAGCCCGAACTCCAGCCTCAACCTGGGAGGTCCAGCCGGGCGTCTGCCTCGCCTGCCACCGTCTGCAGAACCGGGGGAAGCGCCACCTTGCCGGGGGGGGGGGGGGGGGGGGGGGGGATCGGGATGTGACACGCCTCTCACAGAAAGGGCAGCACACAGAGCCCTGAGGGTGGGGTGCGGGCGCTCAGCAGAGCCTCAGGCTAACCAGCGCCCCGGCTCGTCTGCCCGCAGCGCACCGCACCACACGGGTCAGCCAATTTGCGTTGCTGACATGGAGGACGGCACTGCTACCGCCAGGCAGCCCCTTCTCCAGCAGCAGGCTTCCTTTCTGGAATCCACCCCGGGGAGGCGGAGGCAAACACACGGCCCTCACAGCAGCCCTCACGGCACTGGGGCGTCGGGTGCTCCTGGGAGGGGACGCCCAACCCTGAGCGGCGCGAGTCCTGTCTCCCGGGGCCCTGAGAGTCCTCCACTTGACTGCCACGCCGTGCCCTCCAGTCTCAGCAGGCAACGAGACACCCTTGGGTGACCAGGGAGACCCCGCCACAACACACCGCCAGCTCCGAGGGCACCCGGAGCGCGAAGAGGGACCAGCAGGCAGAGCCCGAGCCTCGGCCGAGCCGGTGCCAGAGGCACCAGGACACAGGCCCGCTTGTCACCACCTGCACGCACCTCCGCCCCGCCCCCCGCCGCCCCTGCCAGGAGAACAGCACCCACCAGTGAAAGCCCCAAACTGTAATAAGCAACCTGCCACCAAAAAAACTCCTGGTCCAGTTCGTTAATCTGATCGACAGACACAAAAAAAGATAACACAAATCACACTAACAACGTATTCAGAAATGCAAGAAATTAAAAAATCAATGTAATTCACCACACTAAGAAAATAAAGGACGGGGACTTTCCTGGTGGTCCAGTAGCTAAGACTCCACACTCCCAATGCAGTGGGCCCAGCTTCGATCCTTGGTCAGGGAACTAGATCCCACATGCCGCAACTAAGAGTTCGCATGCTGCAACTAAAGATCCCCCATGCTGCAACTAAGAGTCAGTGCAGCCAAATGAATAAATATTTTGAAAATGCTTTTTTAAAAAAAAAAAGGATGGAAAATTATGATCATCTCCACAGCTGCAGAAAAGCCCTGAGGTCCTGAGACCAACTCCCAGCACACTGTGGGGAGGGACGTCCCCCACCTGACACAGGTTTGGTGCAGAAGATTGGGTGCCACCCCCGAGAGGGGGTTCAAGGCAGGAATGCCTATACTCACCACATCTACTGAAAAACTAAACCTATTTTTTAATGAGCAAAAGATCTGAACACGCACTTGTCAGAAAAAAATATCCATACAGCCAGTTAACGTTTGGAAAGGTGTTCGGCGTTGGGAAAATGCAAATTAAAACCAGGAGGCAACACCAGTACTCTCACAAGCAGAGCAGTGGGCCTCGGACGCTGCTTGGGGCCACTCAGAGTTTCTAACAAAGTCCGGGGAGTGAGTGACATGCCACACGAACTCACAGTTTTGTTCATAACAGTAAAAGAAAGAGCAACCGCCCATCAAAAGGCAAATGGGTGCATCCACTCCAGTGCAGCCGTAGACGGAACATTCCACAGCTGCGGGAAGATGCCGGCGGGCTGCGCCCCACCGTGACAACGCGCCTCAGGGGGGCGGTCTCCTCCACGGTCAGACCAGGCCAGCCCCGCCCCCCTCTTCTTCCTGAGGGATAACAAGGAGTATTTATCTTACGACGCTGTGTTTTTACACAGGAGAAAATCCAGAGGAATTTACAATTAAACTCTTCAAATTAGTAAGTGAATGAGAAGCTCAATCACACAGAAAGTGATTGGTTTCTATATACTATAAACCATTAGGAAATCATGCTGAAATATTACCTATTTATATCGAAAGACGTTAAACACACAGGAATGAATCTAACAGAAGGTGTTCAAGCTCTCTACATGGACAATTACAAACATTACTGAGAGAACAGAAATTAGACTGATAAAAATGCAGGCCCACTTATGGGACACTGTTCACTACTGTTAGCACAGCATATCTCCCCCAACTCATCTCTACATTCAAAGCAATCCAATCAAAACCCAGCAGGCTTTGCGTGGAGATCAACCAGCTTTTTCCAAAATGTACATGGAAACGCAGAGGGTCACAAGTAGCAAGGACAATTCTGAAGAACAACGAAGATGGGCAAATTAAACTGCCAGGTATCAAGACTGTACAATTATAGTCACAACAGGTAGTCCTGGACCCAAGGGCCAAAGGTTCAGAGCAAAGAGCAGAAGCTGAGCCCCACCTGACTGGTGACAAGGGCTCCGCTACAACCCAGCAGGAAAGGACAGTCTTCCCAGTGACAATGACCATGTGGACATCCACAGGGAAGAAAATAAACCTTGACCCTCCCTTACAGCACGAAACACAAAATGAGTCCAGATGGATCACAGACGGACACCTTGCAGAGGACGGTACAGGAGACCAGTAGACGACAGAAAAAGGCAAATTAAACTGACATCCCCAAGTGTTAGCACGGATGGGTCCGCCTGACCTAGGCTTTGGGGGTGCAGAACTGTGCAGTCACTTTGACGAACCGTTAAACCCTATCTGCTGCCTCCACAGAAAAACCCCAATGTATGTATGTTCATGTCACACCTGGACTGGAAAGAACCCAGATGTGTATCAGCACAGGAATCGGCAGAGAAGCTGCTTGAACGTCCATCCGATGGACACCACACAGCCACAGAGGAAGAGCCTCCTTCCAACAGCAAGGGCCTGTCCATCGAAAGGAAGCAGAGATCCCCACCATGAGTCCGCATCCCCTGTGGGTGGGGGCGGGGTGTTACCGTGGGGACTGCTCGCGGGGGAGGGGGGTGTCCCGAGAGCCTGGTCTGGATCATCGTGATCCCAGGTTCTAGAAAGGAAATGTGCATTTCTACTTCACTAAAAGTGCTCACAGAAAGCTTTTAACCCTCAGCCAGAGCAGAGCAGGGCAGACCTCGCTGAGCCTCCCTCACTAGTACCCAGGCACCGTCACAGGGACCAACCGTACACACTCCACAGTGTGTTTACTTCCTCAATGCTAACAGGATGTCTAGACGTCAAGTTCAACCTCTATCGGGTTCAACCTCTATCAGTTCAACCTCCATGTCAGACCGTGGCACACCCTGAAAACTGCTGTGGCCCAGCAACCAGCGTCCCCTACGGACGCTCAGCCAGCTCCCACACACCACGTACAGAGACAGGAGGGCTGGCTCTTAACCCGCACCCCACACACCTGCCCTGGAACCCCCTCGACTATGACTAACTGAGTCTTATCTGTGAATGACCAACAACGACAGAAGCCAGTAGGAATGAGGACTCTATCAGCCACCAAAAACAGCACAAATAGGTTGATCTGACTGTCCCACCTTCGTCTGCTGAAAAGATGATCCTTTCGCATCGAAGCAGCCTCAGCATCTTGTAGACAAGCAGCTGAGCACACACGTGGGTGCCTGTGGGGACCCTGCTCCCCAGGACAGGTGTGCGCCTGTCTCCACTGCCCCGCAGCTTCACGGCCAAGGCCGAGGGCCTCCGACTCCCTCCTGCCTTTTCAAGGTGGCTGTTGCTGCGCCAGGTCCTTTGAATTTCCAAACACACTTTGGAAGCAGCTTATCGGTTTCTCCCCAAGAGCCCTCAGGGGCTTGGACCTGCATCGCGACAGCTCTATGAGACTGGCTTGGGGGGCGCTGGTATCTGAACACTATGGAGACACCCTCGGCCCGTAGGCCCTGCTCCTCTCCAGCGGCTCAGAACTGCCTGAGTTTCCCACAGCAAAGTTCTGCAGGTTTCAGGGTGCACATCTTTCATCAAATTAATCCCTAAACAGTCTGTAGCCTTTTTTTTTTTTTTGCGGTATGCGGGCCTCTCACTGTTGTGGCCTCTCCCGTTGCGGAGCACAGGCTCCGGATGTGCAGGCCCAGCGGCCACGGCTCACGGGCCCAGCCGCTCCGCAGCATGTGGGATCCTCCCGGACCAGGGCATGAACCCATGTCCCCTGCATCGGCAGGCGGACTCTCAACCACTGCGCCACCAGGGAAGCCCCACACATGTGTTTTTAAACTTACACACCCGACCGCTGGCTAACAGCGCTCAGAAAAGGCACTCTGCACGCTGCTCCGGCCACAGCCTCGCTCCGCAGGCCTTGCACCCCGCCGCTTCTGCGCACACCTCCTGGGCCTCCTCTACAGACGGCCCTGTCGTCTGGGGGAACGCAGCTGCCCTCCCTGCTCCAGTCAGGGTGCTCCTCTCTCTCAAGGCCTGACCTGTCCCTCCCCTGCGAAACCTGCGTGGACACCTGTGGTGTCACACAGCCATGCCCGGGGAGCGTCCTGTGGAGGGGAGGGGGTCGCAGCGGGTGGCGTTTGCTTCAGCCAGCGTCCCGCAGAGAGCGGGGCAGGGCGCGGGGCTGGCTCCTCGGCCAGGCACAGCTTGTTCCTCGGCCCTTTTTCTCTATCTCCCTCTCTGCAATCCCCAGCGTCACTGGGACCGCAGGAGTCCACCTGGGACGGCAATACCCCGACCCCTTCACTGCCACCAGAAGGCCTGTCTGGAGCCCCGAGAGGAGTGGGGGCTCCCAGGGGCTTTGGATACATGGACCCCTGCCACCCTTCCTGGGAATTCAGCATCTGGACGCGGCCTCCTACTCTCTCCTTGGTGGATTCCTCTGGGATTCCGGGAACCAGCGCTCCCAGAGTTTCCCAGCGCTGGGAGGAGCATGGAGCCCGAGGCCTCTTCCCAGACCTGCTCGTAAAACCACGGGACAAAGCAGCAACGAGCCACATCCAGCTTCCACACTGAGGGCTTCTCTGAACGTCCTCCTCCTGGATCAAGGGGGGCCGGGCACAGGCCACAGCACCCCACGCAGAGCACGGGCGAGGCCACCTTTGCAGGTGGGCCCTCCCTCAGGAAGCCTGTGAGTCTGTAACTCCTACAGACCAGCGTGGGGGTCCCTCTAAGAACAGTCTGGAGGGAACACTGGGTGTCACAGCTTGTGGAGCACACAGCACACACCCCCGAGCCCAGGGCGCCAGCACATTAACAGGACACAATGATGCAGATTTACAACCCATTTTCCTATTCACATTGGCAACAAGCAAACGGGGAGTACAATTACCCAGCAGCGTTTCAAGTCAGGACCACTCGCACGGCTACCGTCAGATTTGGTCTGCCAGCAACCATATGGCAGGAACCCATGGTCCTGAGGGGCAGACGGTGGGGCCGAACTGGGGTTCTCTCAGACAGCAATTTCTGTCCACGGACCTAGTGGTTAAAGCTCCACTTTGGCCCCCAAATAACAAACATCCTTAAAAAAAGCCAGACGTGTCCTCCACAGCCACCCAGCACAGCAGTTCCTCCACTGCCGCCCGAAGAGGGTCTCGCGGCACAGACGTCGCCCACTGCAGAGGGACAAGCGACAGTGACACCCCCAGCCCTCCCCCGAGCCCGGAAGAGGCCCACGCGGAGTGGTGGGGGAGGACGAGCTCACCTTTTTCCCGGGCTGCTTCTCCACCATGTCGCTGCTCAGGGAACGCTCCTCCTGCTGTGGGGTTCTAGAACACCCACCCTTGGGCATCGTTTCCTCCTCACCAGGCCTTCATTCACGCCGCCATCGCTTCATCGTCAACCGTCTGCTTAAAAACAGAGGACAGGGGTTAAGATCCAGTGACCCCACATGAAACCCAGATGCCGCCTCCAGTCAGTGATGCACGATGCATGGACGCAGCAGCCTTCTGAGGGGCCGCTCCTGAGGCACCGGCCCGGCTGGCAGCCCCGGCAGCGGCACGTCCCCCTCCACGAGGGAGAACAGCAGAACCCCGGGGTGCACGCGGGGCCCTGCTCCGGGCGTCAGGCGCCACACACGCTCGGTGGCAGCACCCTCTGCCCACGGGCAGGGTCACACCTCGAGGTCCAGGGGATCACGCCCACCACCCTCTCGGCCCCCTGCCCCCACCCCCAGCAGAAGGTCAGGATGAGGGCTACTCTGCCACTCAGAAAGCACCCAGCACCCCGGACTCCCCAACTCCCGCAAGTCAAATGTCCAGAAGGCAGGCAAGTGACGCCGCTGGGGAGCGCCCGGAGGACGCCAGGCAGCTGTGGCGCCCGCTCCTGCACGGGGGCCTGAGGCCTGCGCCCCTGCATTTCCCAGGACACATGCTGTGCTTATCGTGTTTTCTGTATTTTATGTTTTGGCATCTTCAGTTTGCTTTCTGGGGACAGACCGCCCTCCCACCAGGGCCAGCCCTTTCTTGGCAATGGCCAAGAACCCCCCACAAAACCACCCACCACCCCACCTACCTCTCACACACAAGCCGCCGGCTCCCCCGAACATAACGCATCCCAGGTACCACGTAACCAGAGACCACCCCACAGCCCGCGGAACTGTCCACTCCACCCACCGCCTTCCCCATGGAGACCCCAGGGGAGATGCTGGCCGACTCGCCTCTCAATCCTGTCTGCTGCTCCCAACAAGCCCAGTGCTTCCCTGGCGGCCGTGCCGGCACAGCCAGGCGCTCTGCACCTGTGCGTGGAGTTGTCTCTGCCTGTGGCCACACTGACCCGACCCGCCCCTGCCCGATGTGGACAGCTCTCCCCCCACCCCCCCGGTCCTCCTGTGCTTGCTCCACGAATCACATCCAGGGTGCGTGCTGCGCTCAGCAGAGGGAACAGGGAGAAGCGCGTCTGCTCCGTCCTCCTGAAAGCCTTCCTCGCAGACATCCTCCTCACAGGGTCAGAGAACAGTTCACACAAACCGAATCACACCTCTGGCGCCTTGCCGTGTTGGACGAGGGGTTTTGTAAATAGCTCACCTGGAATTAAACAGCCTCTACTCTGTATGGTTTTGGAAACACGCTGTTCAGAAGCGTTCTGGAGTGGCAGCTCCGACCTGCTCTTCACCAGCCTCTGGAGAACCTGTCTCCTTTTCCACATTAACGGATCAAAGGTTCCCCGAGTGTCCCCTTGCTTATTCACTGGCCAACACACATCTAACTGTAGTCAGTGGAGGGACCACACCACCTCCTGACACCGCCTCCGCAGCACACCACGCAGGTGGGCCGGGCTCTGCCTCCACACGTTCCCCGTGGCTGCGGCCGTAAATGATGGTTCCTATCTGCGCTTGAAACTGTGAACGCCAAGCTCTCTTCCAGTTTTCCACGACCAAACTGGGCTGTCTCAGCCTGAGGAATGGCATGTCAGAGCCTGACTCAGGACAGCTGCTGAATCTCAGGGCTACCTGGGAACTCATCAGCAATGTTTCCACAGAAATTTAAAGATTATCCGAAGTTAATGTTTTGAAAACCTCCTGACTGCCTGCTCCCAAGATGGAAACTCAGGCCACGGAGCCGCGGACGCGCGACGCTCGCACCCCCAGACGCGAACCCCCGAGTGTGTGGAGCCAGGCAGCACACGCCGGGCGGACCCACGAGTCCCGGACCCCGACCTTGCCGCATCCAAACCAGGAGGGCGCGTGGACGGCCAGCCCAGGCCGCAAAAGCTGATGTCACCAAGTGCCCCACGGCGGCTCTGGCCTTTCCTGGGAAGCCCTGCACGAGCTGCCCAGAGGCTGGGGGCAAGAGGGGGGCCCGCTCCTCCAGGGCCTCGGTGCCCACGGCGGCCCCCCAAGGCGCACCCCCAGCTTCTGGAAACACCGGCAGACCCTGCGGCTCCTCTAGCGCCTCCTGCTCCGCTGCTGTCGTCAGCGTGAAATTTCAACACTACACCCGCGTGCATGTCTCCGACCCGGGCTCTGGCATGTCCCTGCCACCAGGAGACACTCGCCACTGCCGTCATTTTGGGCGCAATCCACTAGCTGACAGAGGAGGCCCCCGCCTCACCAGGATGTCTGTGTTGGCAGCTGGCCCCGAGTGCCAGGTCTCCACTCATTCCTGAGGAGGGACAGGGCTCGATGGGTCCAGGTCCGCCCCAGCTGTGTCCCGGTCTCACAGGCACACTTCTGTCCTCTCCCCTACGTGCCCAGCAGGACCCTCCCTGAGGCTGCCCAGTCCCTCGGGCTCCACACCACCCTGCACCCCTCCGCTGGGCAGCCTCTCCTTCCCGCCTGCCTGTCCTGGGCCCAGGGAGACGTCCATTCACAGGGGCTGGCAGGACAGACATCCTTGTCAAGAGACCTCGTGTCACAACGAGGCGTGTCCCTCCCCAAAGGCGCTCTGAGCACCATGGGCAGACCTAGCCCCGCGGGCACCGCAGCAAGCGACTGCCCCGACCACGGCACCCTCCTCCTTCCCGACACAACTCGGCCCTGCGAGTCCCTCTCCGTGGGCAAGAGGCGCAACTCTCGGAGGAGAGGCTCCCTCCAAACTAACCCTGAGGAAGGTGGGTGGCTGCACCCCTGCCACACCCGCCGTTCAGCAAACTCCTGCCTTTGCGAGTGACAAGCTAAAAGCAAGGCACGAGGGGGAACCTGAAGGCAACTTTACTGGCCTCGTGGGGATCAAACCTGGAACCTGAGTGGAAAAGGCCACAGCACCGTGGGCCCCAAATCCACGGACAGGGAGAGCCCGGCCCCGCAGCTCCAGGAGGGAAGGCACAATGGGGCGGGACGAGGGCCCACCGCCTGCCGACCTGTGCCAGCCACCCCCGCCCCAGCGGCCTCATCCCCGCAAGCTGCAACCACAGGGGCAGAGAAGGCAGCTGAGAGGGAGGCTCAGAGCAGGGCCCGGAGGGACCACACACACAGGAGCAGGGTGAGCAGGGGCTAGAGAGAGACCGGGTCAGCAGCAACCTGGGCTTCAGGAGAGTCTAGAAAAATTCAGAGACAGAAGAAAAGACTCACAAATTTTAAAACGAGAGGATACGCTAAGTCCTAGAGAAGCAATCCAGAAAGCCCGCTGTCACAGCAAGGCAAAGACGCTGCCCGAGGAGGAACCAGAGACAATGGCCCAGGACAGGACCCCAGCCAAAGGGCAGGAGCCCACTGAGCCCCGCCTCTCCCGCACGGGGGCCTCTGTGCAGGGGACGCGGACACAGTGCAGCAACGGTCCCGAAAAACGATTTCCAGACTCAAACACCAAATGTAGCCACACTGGCGACCAGGGTAACGGCAAAAGAAAGGCACTTTGCGAGCCTGCAGCAAAGTCCCCCGGCCCTCCCCCTCCTGCGGGCCTTGGCGGGGGTGGGTGGGGGGGGGTGGGGGGGAGGGGGGGGGGGGGGGTGGGTGTTGGGCAAGGGCAGCCGCAGGCGGCACAGCCCGGCCTCTCCTATGGGGTCAGAGCTGAGCTCCAAGAATGGTCTGAATTTAAATCCTTGGGGGACAAAGAAAATCAAGACTAATATTTTGTAAACCAGGAAAACTGCATGGAATTAGAATTTCTGTGTCCATAAGTAAGGTCTCCCTGGACAGAGACCACACCCAGAGCACTATCGTGGGCTCCACAAGGGACACTGTGGCCTATCGGTGTCACCTGAGGGCGCCAAGACGCCCCAAGCCCTCTCCGGCCGGCGTGGCCATGCACCCGCTGGCACGTGGCCGCGGTGAGCCAGCCGGCGTCCCTAGCGCTGCCTCGATAAAGCAGCAAACGTCGTCCACTCTGTCGCTCTGCAAACCCTACTCCCTGCCCTCCTGACACTGAGCAGATGGACGGTGGGGCTGGCGGGACTGCACTGGGCTCTGGAAAAGCCCCTGCGGCGGGGCTGTGGCCACGCCGGCTGCGTTTTCATGGGGCACAACGGCTACTTGAAAGACTCTCTCAGACAAGCTATGATTATTAAGGACTGGTACGTGTTTTCTCAAAAATGAACAAAATGAGGCCATCGCTTCAAGGAAAACTAACAGTAGTTGTGGCCAGCAATAAAATTTGAGCTTTCACATGAATTCTGGGAAACTTGTATCCCTTCCATTAGCTTCCTAGCACCCAGCCTGAAGACGGGTCAAATGAGGTTGGTGGTGATCATGGACCGTCCACATTTGGGAGACCCACACACCTCAGGGGACCAATGCTTCACAAGGGAGCCCCCAGGGTCTTCAGATCCCCCGAGTCCAGTCGGAGGAGAACCCACCCTCACGTGGAGGCTCCCAGGCGACTCCCTGTTCCCTATACATGTCTGTGAGAGGCTGGATCGTTTTCACACACTTTAAGCAAAACCGCAGAATGCAACAGATGGAGTAAAGGTGCCAGGTATTAGAAAGAGCTGCAGCTATATGAAACAATGCCACTCTTCTCACTAAACTTGTTTTCTTTTATAAAATAGTTACTTTTCAGTAAAAGTTCAGTAAAGTTTACTGTGGGGTCCTCACTGCAAACCCCCAGGTGTGTAAGGGACTCAGGGCCCAGCAGCTGAGCACCAGTACAGAGAGGCTCCTGGGCAGAGGGAACCCAGATGGAAGTACTTGCTGTCAGGAAACAATGAGTGCAAACCAGGAGCAGGGGCTGGGAACCATAAAATGACTCCTGTACAGAAGTCCAAATTGGCCTAAGAAAAAAAAGGAAAAGGTCTTTAAAAAAGAAAGAACTTGGAAATTCCCTGGTGGTGCAGTGGTTAAGAATCCGCCTGCCAACGCAGGGGACGCGGGTTCGAGCCCTGGTCCGGGAAGATCCCACATGCCGCAGAGCAACTAAGCCCATGTGCCACAACTACTGAGCCTGTGCGCTAGAGCCCGTGAGCCACAACC